AAAAATAAAAAAAAATTAAAAAAAATTAAAAAAAAAGAAAACAAAACAAAAGCCAGAAAGGGAAGTGGAACACAGAACGGAACTCAGCCGTGTTACATAAATATCCCCCAAGATGGCAGAAATGATCTAGCCAGTAAACCCTCTTGGAACCTCAAAAGCAAAAAGAAAGTGAGAACAAAGCACAACTTAAAATCTCAATGGATTTCCCTACCATATTTTTATAAATAAAAGAGAACCAGGCGTGGTTGTCCATTCCCATTTCTCATTACCACCTCTGTCTGAAATCTCGTTGGTCACATACCATAACCACCTTTGTATCACTCAAAGATGTTTAGGAATGAAGCAATAGCTCACTCTCCTCACTTCTGCATCCCACATCCAGGATGGAAGGATGAGATTTTGACTGCAAGACACACGAATTGAAGACACCCCAAATTTAGATGCCCAACAACTCAAAGAAACTCTCAAGTAGCTACTGAGGTCTGAAAGCACCCTGTCCATTGGTTATTAGGGCTGTATTGAAAAGATCCTAGCATTGGCCTGCATGTTAGGAAATCATGAGCTCCAAAGGCACTCCTCACTCTTTCTGCCTCAGTCAGAAACAGCTGTTGGAAAGTTCAGATCAGTCAAAGCTTAGGGTAAAAATCAAAAGTTTCTCATTTAAGTAAATAAAATCAAGTTTCTGGCTGACTGCCATCACGTCATGTGGAAATGACTAGATGGATTTTCAACAAATTTGGAAGTTATGTCTTGAATCGTCTGATAAAATAAATGCCGAGCAGTTGCTGTGGTTTGAATATGATTTGGTCCCTGAACTCAGTCAAGACTTTAAACCCTGAAGTCATAATTTAATGGTGCTAAGAAAGTAGAAACTTAATCCAATTATTGTGTCTAGGAGATGGTCCTAGTGGGAAGTACTTAGGTCACTGGGGGCTTGCCCTTGAAATGTAGCTCTCATGATAGCATTACGGAAGCTTGAGTTTGGAATAAGCCTCTCACTTGCTTCCTTACTATCCATATACGGTCCTTCCTCTGCATGCACTTTGCCATCCACCTCTGGGCCTAACTGCCAGAGGCCAAGTCTATACCATGCTGTTTGGACTATGAGCCTCCAAAGCTGTGAGCTACATGAAGCATTTGTTTGTAAGGAAACTGTCTCCGATATTTTATTATAGTAATGAAAATCTAACTAACGCAGTGGTATATAGAAGACACATATTGAATTGTGCACTACAGCCTCCTTCTCCATAAGAGAAGTAGTCAGCCTCTAGAGCAGGTAAAAAAAAAAAAAAAAACCTGAGGTACAACCATACACTGATGAGACTTTGAGTGAGAAGAGAAACATCTGGAAAATATTGATTTCAACTCTGAGTCCCCAATTGGGTTCTGTGAGCAAGCACTGGGTTATAATTGGGATGTTTTTCACTTGGGCAGCTCTCAAAAGGTGCTCCATGATGAGCTGCAGCAAGGATTCATTGATTTATTTTAAAATGACCAGTGAGTGATTCTCCTGTAATGTTGGGAGGCAGAATGGCAAATAGGACGGGGGAAACTCTAGTTAGACCAGCAGTGGACCACAGGAAAAAGGACTTAACTTGCTCCTACATAGTTTCATTTACTCTAAGTCTCAGCTACATTCCTGTATTATATTTGTTATTTATAATCTAACCACCTTACCAATATTAAAGTTCTCTATTTTTCTCTCTCTCTACATCTACTTCTTTCTCTCGTTCTCTCTGCTGCTCTCTCTCTCTCTCTCTCCCTCTCTCCCTCTCTCCCCTCCCTCATACACAGTTGCTGGACAGATAGTGTTTCAGCTTCTCCTGAAGTATAAGTTGTTACGTTTGCGAGGGCTTCCAAATATAGTTCATGCAGATTAGGCTTCCCAGAGTGCTCTGCTCTGTGAAGAGGTGGTTTCTGGGAACTAGGGGCATTCTGTGTTGGCAGGAGCTGGAGTGAGGAGAAGGCGGCAGCGGTGGAGTGACAGGGGTCTCTTCATTCCAGACCAGAGTCACTGGTGGCAGCAGTATCGTCACCCAAACCCACCGCGCCGCTTTTCCAGCCCGCAACACTGTAGTGGCAGCGAGGCAGCTCGCCGCTGTCCAGCAACCAACAAGTGGCCGAGCGCACTGTCCCTGAGGAAGCCCCTCAGAATCGGCCGCCTCACGAAAAAGAATCCGAGTGAGTACCCAGTGACTGAGTCCCTGTGGGTAGGTTCTGGGTCCCAAAACGCCGGGAAAAGCCTCCGGTGGCCACTTCCCGCTACCCCTCACCTCCTCAGCGTTGCCGCGTAGACGAGCCCCAGCGCCCTCGGTTCTCCCCTCAGAGGTGCTGGGATTTTACCTCAGCCTCCATCCTTGTCTTTCAGGATGGCGAGCACGGGTGGCGGCAAGACCGAATTCATAGTCGGAGGGAACTACAAACTGCTGAGAAAGATCGGGTGTGGCGCCTTTGGCGAAATTTATCTGGCAGTTAACCTCAGCAACGGCAAGCAGTTGGCCGTGAAGCTAGAGTTACAGAAGGCCAAGCACCCCATGCTGCTGCACGAGAGCATGCTCTATACGATTCTTCGGGGTGGCGTCGGCGTCCCCCGCATACAGTGGTTCGGGCAGGAAAACGAGTACAATGTGCTGGTCATGGATCTTCTGGGACCTAGCCTCGAAGAGCTCTTCAACTTTTGTTCCAGAAGGTTCTCCATGAAAACTATCCTGATGTTGGCTGACCAGATGATCAGCAGAATTGAGCATGTGCATATGAATGATTTCGTACACAGAGACATTAAGCCGGAAAACTTCCTCATGGGCACTGGATGTTACTGTCGAAAGTGCTTGGAATCTCCACCGGGAAAGAGGAAAAGAAACAGGCTTCAGGGCTCAGCTGCCTCGTCACGAGAACAGTTATACCTTATTGATTTTGGCTTGGCCAAAAAGTACAGAGACAGCGATACAAATGAACACATTCCGTACAGAACGGACAAGAACTTCGCTGGCACCGCCCGATACGCTAGCATCAACGCACAGTGTGGCATCGAGCAGAGCCGCCGAGATGACCTGGAGGCCTTAGGCTACATTCTGATATACTTTAATAGAGGCAGCCTGCCGTGGCAAGGCGTAAAGGCTATGGCAAGGAAACAAGGCCTTAAAATGACTTGCGAAAAGAAGATGGCCACGCCTGTTGAAGTTCTGTGTGAGGGCTTTCCTCAAGAGTTTGCCACCTACTTAAACTACTGCCGTGGGCTGCAGTTCGACGAGACACCCGATTACACCTATCTGAGGCAGCTATTCCGCAACCTTTTCCAAAACCTGAACCACGAGTACGACAACACCTTTGATTGGACAGTGTTAACGGAGGAAGAGGAGGAGGAGGAAGCATCTTCCAAGAGGCAGGGGCAGTAGACCCAAACCCCCGCAGGCAAGCAACCTGTCCAAACCAAGAGTAACGAAGAAAAAGTTTCTAAGCATGAATTGTGCAGCAGAAGTAGAGCCGATGATCAGACCAGCATTTGTTTCTCCCCTATTCTAGAAATTCTAGTTCACATGTACACTAGCCAGTGGGTATGTTGTGTAAATCGCTTAATTTCATTATAAACTGGTCCTGGGCCATATTGGTGATGCTGCATGCATCCTAAGTTGTAGCCACTGTAATTGTGAATATTAACTGAGATAGTGAAACATAGTGTCTGGTTTTCTATTGCATTTGCTCAAGTGGAAACATTTACTAGATGATTGATACACATTGGCAGAGAAACTGTGCATATGCCAGGTTTTTTGTTGTTGTTGTTAAGATCTTTTATTTTAAACTATAGTGCTTTGAAATCTTATTTTCAGAAAAATGGCATGAACAGTATTCAGACACAGTTGTAATGACCGTAAATTCTCACAACTGTGGATTCTCAGGGTTTTTCTACCCCTAAGGGTTGCAAGTTATTCACTTAAAAGGTTCTTGTTTTTTTTGTTTGTTTGTTTGTTTGTTTGTTTTTTGACAGGCAGAGTGGACAGTGAGAGAGAGAGACAGAGAGAAAGGTCTTCCTTTTGCCGTTGGTTCACCCTCCAATGGCCACCTCGGCCAGCGCGCTGTGGCTGGTGCACCACACTGATCCGATGGCAGGAGCCAGGTGCTTCTCCTGGTCTCCCATGGGGTGCAGGGCCCAAGCACTTGGGCCATCCTCCACTGCCTTCCCGGGCCACAGCAGAGAGCTGGCCTGGAAGAGGGGCAACCGGGACAGAATCCGGTGCCCCGACCGGGACTAGACCCTGGTGTGCCGGCGCTGCAAGGCGGAGGATTAGTCTAGTGAGCCGCGGCGCCAGCCCACTTAAAAGATTCTAAGACAGTTGGCTTTTGTTTTGTTAAATATTTATTTATTCATTTGAAAAACTTACAGAAAGAGAGAGAGAGAGAGAAAAAGAGAGGGAGGGAGAGAGAGGGAGATCTTCCATCCGCTGGTTCACTCCCCAGATGGCTATAATGGCCAGCACCGGGCCAGGTAGAAACCAGGAGCCAGGAACTTCATCCAGGTCTCCCATGTAGGTGGCAGGGGCCCAAGGACTTTTTCCAGGTCATTAACAGGAAACTGGAGCAGCTGGGACGCAAACCAGCACCTTTATAGGATGCCAGCATCACAAGTGGTGGCTTTTACCTGCTATGCCACAATGCTGGCTCCAGATTCAAGTGTTTGAGCAGATGAAAGACTTTGCCTGCTTACCTGTGTTAGAAATAACATCCATCTATTTACACTTGATTATTGTTTATAATCCTTGCCTATAGTACAACTTAACTAGGATCTTTTCACTTTTACTTGTTGATCTCTTCTTTTAGTGGAGCATTAAGTCCTTGACTATAATATTAATTTAAAATGTTATCTCAGAAATTAAGAAAGAAAGGGAGAGGAAGGTAGGGAGGTAGTATATTATATTATTAGCATTATATTATTAGGATTGTATCTATAAACCACATGGAATTTGTTACCTTTGTTTAGTATTACATTAACATGAAAAACGTGTCAGATAAAAAAAACCTTAGTGATTATCAGATAACCATTAGGATTCTGCATTAACTCGATAATTTTTTTGGTGTTTTAAAAAAAGCTTATTTGTCACAGAAATGTAGTTAATGTTTTACAACTGACCATGTATATATGTTGCTTAAATAAATATAATCACTGCAAACATCTGTATGATCTGCGATCTTATTTTTATTTTGAAATGGGAGCTTTTTTGTTGTAAGCTCATTGAAATCTTAAAAACTGTTTCTGTAAAAAGTATTGAAAGGGGACGGTTCTGTGGTGCAGCGGGTTAACTCCTTGGCCTGAAGCGCCAGCATCCCATAAGGGCGCTGGTTCAAGACCCGGCTGTTCCTCTTCCAATCCAGCTCTCTGTTGTGGCCTGGGAAAGCAGTAGAAGATGGCCCAAGTCCTTGGGGCCCTGCACCGACATGGGAGACCCAAGGGAAGCTCCTGGCTCCTGGCTTCGGATCAGCGCAGCTCAGGCCATTGCGGCCAATTAGGGAGTGAACCAGCAGATGGAAGACCTCTCTCTCACTCTCTGCCTCTCCTCTCTCTGTGTGTAACTCTGACTTTCAAATAAATAAATCTTTTAAAAAATGTGGGGGGGGCAGAGCCCAGATGGCTGAATAGTGAGGACGCGCACCGATAGTCTGGGAAAATTTAGTTTAATAAAAGTGGAGTTACGGTAGCCTCAGAAAAAGGATCAGGAAAAATTGCAGAGGAAACTCTTCCGGATCTAGTGGTTGTGACTCAGAGGACCTACTGGGAGAGCAGGGTCACCCACCGCGCGGAAGCCGAGCCACAGGAGCCGCAGGGTCTGCGAGCCAGTGCGGGAAGGGGAGTGGATGTCACACAGACACCAGCGGGGACAGCAGGGACGCCCAGGGCTCCGAGTCTACACATCGGCGCTGGAAGGGGAGGTGAGCTCAGTAACTGGAGACACTGGCGGTGAAACGGCAGACAGAATCTAGAGGAAAGCGGGCTTTGAGGTGGGAAAGTTCACCAGACTGACTACAGGAGAGAAGGAAAAAAAAAAAAAGGGTGGTGGGGTACTGGGTACTGGTACAAACAAGTTTCTCTCTCCGCCAAACTTGCAAGGCAAGCAAGAGACAAAGAGTAGGCCCTGCGCAGGATATACATAACAAAATGGGAGAGCTAAGGCTACAATTCAGTAGCCTAGGCAACCCAGTGGGAGTCCGCAGGAGAAACTGAACCGGCACAGACTCTTTGGGTAGAAGCCAGAGATCAGAAGCTAAATACCATCAATTCTGCTCAGCCGTGCGGTATTACTTACCTCCTGAATAAAAAATAAAATAAAATAAAATAAATAAGTAAATAAATAAATAAATAAATAGAGATTTACCATACATAACCTGAGGGTGTCACCTTTGCACACCCATAACCCGGAAGAACCAAGCAGAGTTCTCAGGCCACACCCATCTCAAGCCTCCAAGGCTCCTCCAACAGCAGGCAGTCCACTTAACACAGACATAGTATATAAAAAAAAAACTCACAGTGAGGGATGAAGAATTAACTATGCCAAGCAACAAACACAAAAATCAAGGAAACAAGATCAATGATGACACTATGACGCCTCCAAATAAACAAAACACCCCAAGCCAAGATTATGAAGATGATGAGATAGAAGAAATGCAAGATACGGATTTCAAAAAATTTATGATAAGAACATTTAGAAGTTTTCAAAAGCAAATCCTTGAACTACAGAAATCCTTATTGGACAGGATTGAAAATCTCTCTCGTGAAAATGAAATTTTAAGGAAGAATCAAAATGAAATGCAGAAACTAGTAGAACAGGAAAGTGTGATAGTGAAGAGAAACCAAAATGAAATGAAGAGCTCAATAGATCAAATGACAAACACATTAGAAAGTCTAAAAAACGGAGTCAGTGAAACAGAAGAGAGAATATTGGACTTAGAAGACAGAGCACAGGAAAACATACAGTCAAACCAAAGAAAAGAAGAGGAAATTAGAAATCTAAAAAATATTGTCGGGAATCTACAGGATACTATTAAAAAAACCAACATTCGCGTTCTAGGAGTTCCTGAAGGCACGGAGAGGGAGAAAGGATTAGAAGGCCTTTTTAGTGAGATACTAGCAGAGAACTTTCCAGGTTTGGAGAAGGACAGAGACATCCTAGTACAGGAAGCTCATAGAACCCCCAGTAAACATGACCAAAAGAGATCCTCACCACGACACGTTGTAATTAAACTCACCGCAGTGAAACATAAAGAAAAGATCCTAAAATGTGCAAGAGAGAAACGTCAGATTACTCTCAGAGGATCTCCAATTAGACTCACAGCAGACTTCTCATCAGAAACACTACAGGCTAGGAGGGAATGGCGAGACATAGCACAGGTGCTAAGAGAGAAAAATTGCCAGCCCAGAATATTATATCCTGCTAAGCTCTCATTTGTGAATGAAGGTGAAATAAAGACCTTCCATAGCAAACAGAAATTGAAAGACTTTGCCGCCACTTGTCCGTCCCTGCAAAAGATACTTAAAGATGTGCTACACTCAGAACACAGAAACACAGCCATCAATATGAAAGAAGGTAAAGGAAGAACACCTACCAGTAAAAGAGCATGGGATGCTCAAAGCATATATTAGAAAATATCTCTGGGAAAATGGCAGGGCAAAGTCACTATGTATCAATAGCCACATTAAACGTTCATGGACTTAACTCTTCAGTTAAAAGACACAGATTGGCTGATTGGCTTAAGGAACAAAACCCAACTATTTGTTGTCTACAAGAAACACATCTCTCTTACAAAGATGCATGCAGACTGAAAGTGAAAGGTTGGAAAAAGATATACCATGCCAACATAAACCAAAAAAAAGCAGGTGTAGCCATATTAATATCAGACCAAATAAACTTTAATACAAAAACTGCTAAGAGAGACAAAGAGGGGCACTATATAATGATTAAGGGTTCAATTCAACAGGAAGATGTAACTATTATAAATGTATATGCACCTAAAAGATATGTTAAGGGACTTAAAGGGAGACTTAGATTCCAATACAATAGTACTGGGGGTCTTCAATACTCCACTCTCAGAAATAGACAGATCATCCGGACAGAAGATCAACAAGGAAACAGCAGATTTAATTGACACTATTGCCCAAATGGATCTAACAGATATCTACAGAACTTTCAATCCTACATCTAAAGACGTTACATTCTTCTCAGCAGTGCATGGAACCTTCTCTAGGACTGATCACATACTAGGCCATAAAGCAAGTCTTAGCAAATTTAAAAGAATTAGAATCATACCATGCAGCTTCTCAGACCACAGTGGAATGAAGCTAGAAATTAGCAACTCAGGAAACCCTAGAAAGTATGCAATCACATGGAGACTGAACAACATGCTCCTGAATGAACACTGGGTCATTCAAGAAATCAAAAGAGAAATCAAAAACTTTCTGGAAGTAAATGAAGACAACAACACAACATATCAAAACTTATGGGATACAGCAAAAGCAGTACTGAGAGGCAAATTTATAGCAATAGGTGCCTATATCAAGAAATTGGAAAGGTACCAAATAAATGAGCTTTCAGCGCACCTCAAGGACCTAGAAAAACTGCAGCAAACCAGACCCAAATCTGGTAGGAGAAGAGAAATAATTAAAATCAGAGAAGAAATTAACAGGATTGAATCAAAAAAAATTACTAAAAATCAGCCAAGCGAGAAGCTGGTTTTTTTGAAATAATAAACAAAATTGCCACCCCATTGGCCCAACTAACTAAAAAAAGAAGAGAAAAGACCCAAATCAATAAAATCAGAGATGAAAAAGGAAATGTAACAACAGACACCACAGAAATAAAAAGAATCATCAGAAATTACTACAAGGACTTGTATGCCAGCAAACAGGAAAACCTATCAGAAATGGATAGATTCCTGGACACATGCAATCTACCTAAATTGAACCATGAAGACATAGAAAACCTAAATAGACCCATTACTGAAACAGAAATTGAAACAGTAATAAAGGCCCTCCCAACAAAGAAAAGCCCAGGACCAGATGGATTCACTGCTGAATTCTACCAGACATTTAAAGAAGAACTAATTCCATTTCTTCTCAAACTATTCAGAACAATCGAAAAAGATGGAATCCTCCCAAATTCTTTCTATGAAGCCAGCATCACCTTCATCCCTAAGCCAGAGAAAGATGCAGCACTGAAAGAAAATTATAGACCAATATCCCTGATGAACATAGACGCAAAAATCCTCAATAAAATTCTCGCTAATAGAATACAACAACACATCAGAAAGATCATCCATCCAGACCAAGTGGGATTTATCCCTGGTATGCAGGGATGGTTCAACATCCGCAAATCAATCAATGTGATTCACCTGTGATGAGCCATTCCCACTGTTCTGATGACATGACTTCAGATATAACTCCTCATCACAGTACAAAACACTGTTACCAGCCCCTCCCCCAGAGGGAAAGGTACTTTGACTTCCACCTTAAACCTCTGTTTCTGCCTCTTTTCCACAGCCTCAGCTTTCTCTAATGATCTCACACCAGAGCCATGCTTTTAAATGTTCATCATATATTTAATTAGAGAGAGGTAGAGAGACATCAAGCTCACATCCACTGGTTCACTTCCCAGATGCCTACAATATCCAGGAGTATGGTAAGCCAAAGCCACAAGCTTGGAACTCAATCCCATCTCCCATGTGGGTGACAGGATCCAAATTACATGAAGCATTACCACTGCCTCCCATTGTCTGCATTACCAGGAAGCTGGAGTCAGGAGTCAGAGCTGGGAGTCAAACCCAGGCACTTCAAAGTGGGACATGAGCATCTTAACTTGAGCTTTAATTACTAGGCCAAATGCTCACCTCGAGAGCTGGTTTACTTCCAGTTTTGCTTCTTTTTTTTTAAAGACTTATTTATTTATTTTGAAAGAGTTATAGGGAAGGTGGGAGAGAAGGGGAGGGGCAGAGAGAGAGAGAGACTTCCATCTATTGGTTCACTGCTCTAATGCCTGCCAGAGCCAGAGCTGGGCCAGGTCAAAGCCAGAACCCAGGAACTACATCCAGGTCTCCAGGTCTCCCATGTCAGTGGCAGGGGCCCAAACACTTGGGCCATCTTCCACTGCTTTTTCCAGGCCATTAACAGAA